TGGTTTATATTTTTAACTATTTGATAAGTGGTCAGAAAAAAAAAGCTATTGGTTTTCGTCTTGTTCTTCCTGCCTTGGACAAGCAACCAAATGGCCTCACTGTGTGGCTGCCTGTTCTTCAAGTGAAATGTCACGAGTCAAGATATGGATATGCATATCCAAAAGACCAGACTAAGGCCCTGATAGTATGTGGCACCAAAAGACTTTCTGTCTTCTACTAGCAAGATAAAATCCAGAATTTTTGAGAAAAAAAAAAAATGGCTAGATTTTAAAGGCAATCTGTAATGGCTGAATCTTTTGTTTTGCCTCTTGAGTCACACAGCAGTTTGTGAGAGTCACACATTTGATAGCTGATTGAAAATAAATGAAATGTGAGCGCATTTCAGTGGAAGTAGGCCAGTTGCTAACATTCTCTTCTACCTCTGAAAGTTAAATTTCATTATTTAATTGGATAAAAATCAAGAGCAATATTCATCATATGGGAGAATTTCTGTATAAGGTCATGTTAGTAGAGGGGGGAAATGGTCTCATGGCCTTTTTGGGTGTTAATTCTATCATTTCTTATGTTGAGATAACCCATTCTTCTGAGTGGTATTTGTAGTTAACCTTCATGAAAACCTCATATTCAGGTACCATGTCTTTTGAGAACATGGTTCTTGGATCAGGGTGCAGCTTCCACAGCATTGCGCCGGGCTTCTGCTACAGCCAGGCATGTTTTCTGCGGCTGAATTCGGCCTGGAGAATGTTGCATCTTAAAACCTGCTTTCCAGCGTGCATTTGTAGAGCATAAGCCATCATCCCTCTGTAGACCCCGTAGTTTCTACAAGGGATGGAAGAATCTAACTTCTAAGTGCCGTAAAATATCAGAGGGGTAGGGAGAAAATAGTACAAGAAAACAAGTTTGAACTTGTACTATGTGGTTTTATATAGAAGCTTTCTATTGTTATGCCTATATTCCCAATTATATTTTTCTAACTACTTCAGAACAAGTATTAATTTTGGTTATTTAGTATAGTCATCAAGTTTCTTAATATGGTAAATTTTGTTTCAGGTTTCTTTGCTTTTTTTTTTATATCGTTGTAGTATCACAGCTATGGCAATATAAAGAAAGTAAGTTATTCTTTATATTTATCATTGGTTACTTGCTTTTAAATCAGTTATATGCTTTTAAATAAATTTGGAAGTCATTTTGGTATGGCTATGATAAGATGTATCACAAACTTCCCTTGACTAGAGTGTGAATACCAAAGTTTTGAACGTAATTTAAAAATGTTTAGGTTATTTAGATTATATCAATGTATAGAATTAGTATAGATATGTATAAGAATGTATAAAATTTCAAATGCTTAAATAGTTTTCCAGAGTGTAAATTAGTGATTTAAAATTGCAGCAGTAAACTTCTCTATGTATCCAGTGACTACAGCATATCAGGCAGTATATCATATTGGTAAGTTGATGTAATTTAATAAGAGCACAATTCACATTTTAATTTGTAAATATAGGTAAATTCACAATTTTGGAAATGTTACATAGTTGACACAATATTTTCACAACTCCATAAAATAAAATATATGTACTTTTCTGTGATAAAAATGTGGCCTATGGAGTTGGAAAATAATGTAGTACCATTTCTGACAAAGAATATTAAATCATGACTAAGCCTGGTTCTCCAACTTGGGAGAGTTCACTTTACATCAACCTTCACAGGGAAGGAAGCCTCCCATAAATCCATTTTTAGTAAAATGAACACTGTTTTACCATCTTCTAAGCTTTGTTCACAAGGGTCATTGGGCTTGAAAACACTTTGCCTGTAAGACACCCTCTGGACATTCCTTGAAAAGCTTTCCAAAGCCTAAGTTAAAAAAGCTTATCCTTACAATCAGAAAAACTGGACAACCATAAAGATTCTCCATGTAAATGGTCCCTACTCCTTGGAGAAGAGCAGAAAGAACGCAGGATTTTTTTCCTTGTCTATTTTCAAAAGACATGTTGTGCCTCATAATGCCAGGGAGAGAAAGCTGAACTAACTGAACACTGTCCCTCTCTACTTTAAGATGTATAAATGCATAACCTCCAAAGCTTTTAGAATATTGAGATTATTTATACACAAACTGTTAAACACATTCACAAATGTTTATAATCTAAAGGCTATATAAATAACAAAAATATATCAAGAGGTCCAAACCTGGTAAACAATTAATTCAATTGCTATTCAGGTTAGTGGCTATTATTACTTATGCTGTGAAAGGTTGCTTTAAGTAGTATTTGTATTTAAATATAAGACATCTGCAGAATATATGGTAGAAAACTATGTGAAAAATTAAACATTTTACAGTTATATTAGCAGTGGTAAAATGAGAAGTGAAGGGTGAGTATGTTTTCTAAAGTCTTCAAATGGGAAAGTATATGTGTATATGTGTGTAGACATATATGCTTATATTTTTCCCTTATATCTCCTTATTGAATATCTGCTAATGTTTAGAGAAACTCTTTGGAAATATATGTTTTTACCATTAAAATAATAATTTTAAAATAATTTAAAATAATAATTTATCATTAAAATAATAATAATAATTTCTATTCGGTAAGAAAATGCATTTTCTAATACAAATAGATAGATTAGACAGGGCTAGAATTGAGTTATATATTAAAATGTAGCAATGAAATTATCTAAACACTAAAATTCTATCTATAAGAGTAATATAAAAATATATTCAATCACTTAGTCACTCCTCATGAACTCAGCATAAATATTTATTTTCTATTCTATACTTTGTGATATACTGGATCTTTTGTGTACATATTATGTGAGTATGTGTGTATGTACTTGGTATATGTGTATGTATGTATATACGTATATGTATATACATATATATTATTTATGGTAGTATTTGGTAAAAGGAAACAAGTATAATGAACTAAATGTTTTATAAAATTTAGCATGGAGAAATCATGCAAGCAAGAAAGGCTTCATGGAGGAGGTGAACCATGATCAATTTCAGAAAAAGTTATTGAGCTTGGATTAGCCCAGAGAAAGAAGAAGAAACATGAAGCTTTATATAACCTCAAAATAATTTGGTTTCTTACTAGTGTTATTTATGCAGTGAATGTTCTTGCTGTCACTCATCAAAAGTCATGGTGTTCAACCCATAAACTACCAGAGAAATTGGAAGAGAAAAGTTAGTTCCTGAGACCAAACAATTATCCAGGGTTTTCTTAGTTATACCAGAAGCTGCTACAATTCTACCCAGAAGCAACTTTCCTATGTCTTTCTTAAAATAATAAAGATATCCTGTCGGTAAGAAGAAGGAAAATCTTAGGAGGAGAAAATATTTTGGCCAGCCATGGTGGCTAGCACCTGTAATCCTAGCACTCTGGGAGACCAGCCTGAGCAAGAGCGAGACACCCCATCTCTACTAAAAAAAAAAAAAATAGAAAGAAATTAGCCGGGCGTGGTGGCATGTGCCTGTAGTCCCAGTTACTCAGGAGGCTGAGGCAGAAGGATTCCTTGAGCCCAGGAGTTTGGGGTTGTTGTGAGCTAGGCTGACTCCATGGCACTCTAACCCAAGCAACAGAGTGAGACTCTGTCTCAAAAAAAAAAAAGAAAGAAAATATTTTGTCTTTCCCATGTCTCCAAAATGTAGAGGAATTTAATGGTAAAAACTCTTGTTCTATGATGATCCTAAGAACCATGAGCCATGAGCATATCCCATACTAGGAGGTACTATATTGTAAAATCATAGTTTGACTTAAAGTAATTTTCACAACATACTTAATTGGATATGGTTAATGTCACCTTCAAAGTAACACCACAGAAAGTATCATCTGACTACTACTCTTCAAGTAGTTCACATTATAAATTATTAAATTATATTTACATTATGACTTCTACAAATGAGGAATTTTGAGTCAAATTCCCCCAATATGACCTGAGTTTAGGGAGTCATTTAGGTCTTTTTAAAAATAACACATTAACTCTTTTAGAAGACTAGAGCAGAGTGACCCTAACACTTAGCTACCAAAGTTAATGGGGGCTTTGAAACCATTAACATATCCATGTGCTGTTCTTTCATCCTAAAAGCTTTACATTATCTAGGTTGTGCTGTATGTCATGTCTTTGCATCAATTTTCATGAAACATTGCACATTCATAATGTCTTCCCAAGTGATCTCAGAGTACTTATTAGATATTTATTCTTATAACATTAAAGTGGCTCTTCTAGCCATGTGGCATGTCACGATGATTTATTTAAAGGAAAAATCCACAGCCTGATCACATGCTGAATTCAGAATGTGCTCCTAATGAAAGTCTATACAGATTATGGACAATGCCATTTAAGAAGAAATTTCCATTTCATTTAAAATTCTTTGGCAAGTATTGAACCCAGTTATGCAGTTCAAAAAAAAAGGAGAGAGAGAGAGAGATCCATCATTTTTCTGCTAGTAAAGTGAGAAGAAAATTATGTAAGCCAGTGAAAAATATAGCTCAAAGTTGAAATATAATGACTGTGACTAATGTTAATGTGCCACTCTTCCTTTCTAAAATTACAGAAACATGGACAGTACTTAGAAACAACTGGTAATGTGCTTTGCCTTCTGAAAATTTCCATCTGAAGAGGGGGAAATTACAATTTGATATGATGCATTTTAGTTAATATAATCATTAGTAGATGTCAGCATACTACTTTTATCAAACTATTCTTGGTTTGGCCTGAGGTAATTTTCAAATACAAAACAGAGATCAAAATACAAGTTAATCCGTACAATCCATCCTTTCCAAATTACCCACGTTGAATGTTATCTAACCTTTTGTCTGAATCAGGTCAGTAGCCACATGAATAGTAGGAATTTATGTTCAATTTTGAGTACACAATTATCAGTAACATTAATGGAGTCAAATCTATCATTTTTATCATTTTTGACACTATGACAGAGCGTTTCCCAATTAGTTGAATAAAAGGGGAGAAAAATCACATCTTTAAAATGGAATTTTATTTCCAGAAATTAAATGCAACCAGCTCATCTGAAGGAAGCACAGTTGATGTTGCTCCACCCCGAGAAGGTGAACAAGCTGAAATTGAACCTGAGGAAGACCTTAAACCGGAAGCTTGTTTTACTGAAGGTAAATGAGCTCTAAGGTGATTAAATGCAATCTCCCATAGTTTTTTACAGAGACCGAATATACCTCATTTAAAGAAAATGTTTAAAAGAAATGGTGAAGGCATATTTATCTTTGTTTTCCTCTTTTCGTTTAAAAAACTAACCTATCTGTATTTCCAGATTGTACTATAGCAGTGACTATGCCTGGACAATTAAGATGATGTGATATGTTTTGTGTTTTTTTTTTTCCCCTCATCTCCTAGAATCTGAGGAAGCTGACCCTATAAAATAAATGGCATTCTGGAATGTCATGTCATTGATATTGCAATCCCTTCAGAGCTCCTTGGCAATGGTGTAATTTGATTTATAGATGCTGCAGTAATTACATTCATCCCTTACAGTTTCAAATGTGGTTAATTTGTGCTGTGGCCAGAGCTGTTTTGAGATGTCGCTGTGTTGTAGAGCCTGGGCAGGGGGAGCACTAGTTGTCCTCACAGCGACCAGCATAGCGTCTTGCACACAAATCAATAAATGCTTATTAATCCAATGCGATTTTAATCTAATATGAGTAGTAGCTCAGAGAGTTCGAGCAGAAAAGCGGATGGGAGTTAGAAATAATATGAAAGCTAGGAGGAAGAGGACAAAGGAATAAGAGACAATGACTGACAAGATGAGTCATAGGTGTGACTAAGAAAAGCACTGAGGCTGAAAATAAATTAGCTCGGGAAAATTGACAGTGGCTGATACCTGGGAAGACAGCAGGATTTTCTGTGCATGGAAAAGAAGTAAAAATACAAGATCACATCAAAATATGAATAAACACGAACATGTAGTTTGCCCCAAACCTGAGAGAGGTACCAGGACACTGTTTCCATCAATGGCCTTGAGGTAACAAGAGCCTGTCTGGTGTTGAAGAACGAAACTCTTTTTACTTAAGTCAATCTAGGTAAAGTATTTCTGTGAATTCCAAGTAGCTTGCTTTGAGTATATAAGTCTGAGAATTTAGTTATTTTATAAGAGAGATGCTGAAGATAACTAGGGAAAGAAGTAGCCATTTACCCTGGGAAATGGCCAACTGGCACTGGGATGAGGGGGGGGCAAGAAAGTTTATTTTTTTCCTATTTGAGATTAAAATATATTTTTCTAATTTATTATATTTGATGTTTTTGTTTAGGATGTATTAAAAAGTTTCCATTCTGTCAAGTAAGTACAGAAGAAGGCAAAGGAAAGATCTGGTGGAATCTTCGGAAAACCTGCTACAGCATTGTGGAGCACAACTGGTTTGAGACTTTCATTGTCTTCATGATCCTTCTCAGCAGTGGTGCTTTGGTAAGTGAACTGCATCTTGGCAAGAATCAGGTTCTAGTGGAATAACTTATTCTCCAAAAATACCAGCAAGCGTACACTAACTTTAAGAATCAAAAGAGGAGGCATATTTGTGTCTTGCAGAGCTTGGCACCCAGAGTTTAACTGTACAAATTTCAGTCTAGAACAAATCAGAACCATGAAACAGCCAGATGGAATTTCTCATCTGGTGTTTATCTAACAGATGTTTTCCTCGCTGAGACAACCGTTTTCAGACACATTCTGTAACTACGTTACCTTCCCTGTCAAACCTATCCAGTTTTTCCCTAATAATCATATTAACATTTATGGACTAAAAATGGGTTTTTTTGTTGTTGTTTTCTTTATTTGTAATCAACTTATTCTGTCAAAATAAGCCAGGTCATTCATGGAATCACAGAAAGTAATGTTGGAATAGGCCAACCCTATTCCTCATTAACAGAGCTACTAGTTATTTTCTGAGTTCATATTACTTTACTAAAAGCATGTCTTTACACAGTAAGTAATCGAGATACAGACTTCTGGGTGAAAAGTGGGGAAGAAAGCATGTACAAAATCAATAAAGACAGTGATATCTTCCTGCCAACATTTTTCACAGCTAGTTTTAGTCTTTAAGTTTTGCCTAATGGTTATTGTTTGTGGGAAATAGCAATATTTATCAAATTATTGTTTTGTACTCAGTATTATACTAAGAAGGTTTTTTTCCAAATATTCAGAGGAGGCAAGCCATTCAAGTAAAATAAAATATTCTTGATTCACAGGCATTTGAAGATATATACATTGAACAGCGAAAGACTATCAAAACCATGCTAGAATATGCTGACAAGGTCTTCACCTATATATTCATTCTGGAAATGCTTCTCAAATGGGTAGCTTATGGATTTCAAACGTATTTCACTAATGCCTGGTGCTGGCTAGATTTTTTGATCGTTGATGTAAGTACCCTGAATGATTTTTATGAATTTATTTTTAAAAGAGGCAAGTTGACATTTTATATATTTCTATGATTAAGACCTTGACTTTTTGAGTACCTAGTTTCACTAATGCTGACATAATTATACAGTTGCTTTTTTTAAAAAAAAATTATAATAAATGCCACAGTGAGGAATGGCTCATAGAAAAGAGTAAGGGAGATCCTAAAAATGTGGACTACGGTAAGAGAAAACACATAGGGAGAATTGTTCTATACTACAAGCAGAAAGCTCTTTTTTTCTGAAATTTAAGGACCTCAGGTAAGGAATAGCTAAACAATCTATAATTGACAAATCTAAGCACTTAGCTTATTAACAGTTCAATTAAAAAAAAAAAGCCTCCAGGAGGCAAAATCAAGACAGATTTGGGGCCAGAAATTGTGGGAATTGCACTTTAATCCCTTGCCAGAGTACATGTGACTAGATAATATTAAATGAATCTATTTACTGTATTCATTCTGCCACCTATCTACAGTGACAATAAAATGCATTTACATTTTTAAATCAGTTGTTGGATATCCCAGTAGCTAATCAGATATTTACCAAATAGAGTTAGGTGTAGGTCTGTTCTGAATCTGATTACCCTGGGGTGAGTAGTCATAGGAACATTCTCGGTTATGGAATCTATCTGACTATTTTCTTAATTCCAAATGATGGAGAAGCACTAGGGCAAAATGACAGTCTTCTGGTTCTTTGTAGTCTGTGATATTCCATTGCACAAGGCTTCACAGTCTCCAACAAAACAAGATGCTTCAAGCACTATCTCTAGCCGTTTCCTAGCAATCATAAAGCACTTTATTTTTAGCTCTAACACTCGCCAACATGAATCAATGATTGCTATGCGTGTGCATTCATTCTTTTTATCATTTTTAACAAGTCTGAGTCTATCCAAATTCTACTCACCTTCCTCCCACACATACATACTCATAATTCTATAACCAAAATGTGTTTAACCCTTTAAATTGATAAGAAATCTGCTGCCAAGTAGCTTTTAATAGACCAGAAATGACTTTCAATTTCCATGGCTGGCCTTTCATGAATAATAGAGATGAATTTTAATATTGCTCTGAAAAGCTGTCTGGAAAAGGAAGTTTAATATTTTCACATTCTGTGGCTAGAATGGACCTTAAGGAATATCTAGACTTTATTCTAAACATTAGGAAAGTGAAGTCTCAGTTTAAATAATTTTCCTTAGATAGCACTGCTACTTAATAATAAAATTGACACCAGTGTCCAGATTTCCTAATTCTTAATTCAGCACCCTTGAAGATTGCCTGTCTAATCCAGTATAAATGCATTAGTCATAATAGATAACTGTGTGTGTGCATGTATGTGTGTGTATCAGACTGGCTTTGAGATTTAGCATTTAAATCTTCTTAAACTTTTCAGAAGGTCAAAAAGATACTATCTTTCTATGAAAAAATATATATGCTATTCTATAACTACAAAAACTATACTGTAGATGCTGTTGTTGACCACACAATGAACTAAACCCATAGTTTAATCATTATTTAAAATTTATTGAAAAAATCATATTTCTTTTGGTCCTTAAGGATTTTTGCATAAATGTCATCCCTGAGAAAATTTGTCTGAGCATCTGTCATAACAACTTCAAATTTGGTGCTAAACTATCCTACAGTGCTGATGTATTCAAAACAAACTCCAGGAAAAGATTCAACCATCATGAAATATTTATTGCCCACAGGTGATTTCCACTTAACAAACAGCACAGGTTGAATGGAGATGCTTGATGTTTGCAGCTGTGGAATCCTGTTCCCGGCTTACGCAAAGGCTCATTAGAATCCGACCAGCTGCTCTGTTGAGGTGAACAAAAGCAGCACAGGGACACTTTATGATCCCAATACGTATTTCCTGTTGCCAGCAAGCTCTAGAATCTAATGGTTCCTGCCTTGGTTCTTGACATTTGTTGCTGACATCGGCATCCTCAACAATGAAGCTAGATTGTTATTAGTAGCAGTATTAGTAGCACAATATGATGTCTGCCACTTTCTAAGCACTTACTGTGGGAATGCCACTAATTAAGACCCTTACATAATAATGAAAATTACTACTCCTGATTTAATGCTTAGTGTGTACAGGTGCTACTAAAATCACTTTACACATGTTAACTCACCTAATCTTCAATATTCTATGAGTTATAAACAATAAGTAGTCTCATTCTATAGATGGAGACTCTAAGGCAAAGAGAAGTTGTTAGTTTCCCAAGTTAACATAGTTTATACATGGCCAAGCTGGATTTTGTACCTACGTAATCTGGCTCTAATGACCATCTTTCTAAACTGTACATTCCAAACTTAATTATTTTAATAGAAAGTATTAAAATTATAATTTTAACTTTAATAAAATTATCTTTTAATTATAAAGTATTTATTCTTTTTAACAATCCTATGATGATGTGCCTTATTATTATCTCTATTTTGCTACACGTTTTATCTCTATTTTGCAGGTTTAGAAATGTCATATGGCTAGTAAGTGGCAGAGCTACCTCTATCCAGCACTAAGCTCTTTGCTCCATATTTTGCAGTAGGGCACAGATCTGTTTGGTATATTGTGTTGAACTAGTCAAAGAGTTCCCACATGACATTCTAAAGGTGATTGCCTATAAGTGGTGGTGGATGAAAACAATGAGATGGCTCTTTGCTAATATGTACACACCTGCTTTGCATTTTAGCTGGAACTCTTATGGAGACAATTAGATTAAATTAAAAGAACTTTGAGAGAAAGGAACTGAATAACTATGGATTGTTGTCATTTCACATCAATTTCTGATCTCTCTCTAGATATACTTCCATGGAAACAGTCTAGTATGTAGTTTAACTTTTCCAATAAATTATCCTAGTAGGAATGATTCACTTTGTCCATTTCTTGGGAAAATTTAACTCTCTTTTAGTATTATTAATTTATTAATAAGAAACATTTCTCACTGACCAAGTTTAAAAAGATAGTCCTATTAATTTAACTATAAATTTCTATATCCCATTCTTTGAAAGATTATGAATTTCAGCACATAAAGACTTAACCTCTAATTCTGGTCTTTCCTGAAGCTCCAACCCAAATTTCTATTTCTTCCTAGATAATACCTGCTGACACATCTCCTATCTGGTCACATTCATTTTCTTTCTCCTCCAATCATGTGTTTCTTCCTAAATTCCCTATGTAGCCTGGTGTTAATATTTCCACAAAGCCAAACCAGATATCATCTTCAGCCTCTCTTTTACCCTCACAGCCAATCAATCAGCAAGTTCTCCTCAATGTTAACTACTTATAAATGAGTGGGGAGTCTCGCCCCACTCTCCAACACCACATCAACACCGCTACAACTAACTGGACCAGCCAGTGGCTCTAAATGTTTTCCCCGCCTCCTGTCACGACCTCTTCAAATATATTCTTTAAGAAGATTCACATGACCCTTTTTCTTTTTAAAGGCTTCCACATGGGATACAATTTATAGGCCACTATTCTAAATGGTGACAGTAAAGGAAAATAAGGGGTTTCATTTATAATTTTTTTTTGAGACAGAGTCTCACTTTGTTGCCCTGGCTAGAGTGCTGTGACGTCAGCCTAGCTCACAGCAACCTCAAACTCCTGGGCTCAAGCGATCCTTCTGCCTCAGCCTCCTGAGTAGCTGGGACTACAGGCATGTGCCACCATGCCTGGCTAATTTTTTTTTCTATATATATTTTTAGCTGGCCAATTAATTTCTTCCTATTTTTAGTAGAGACAGGGTCTCGCTCTTGCTCAGGCTGGTCTGAAACTCCTGAGCTCAAACCATCTACCCACCTCAGCCTCCCAGAGTGCTAGGATTATAGGCATGAGCCACCATGTCTGGATTCATTTGTAATATTAATAACTAACCTTTATTGAGCCATAAATTGTTCTATGTGTTTAGTACCTCTTAATTCATTTAATCTTCACAACTTATGAGATATCAACTTTATTATCCCAATTTTTACATGAGTAAATTGAGGCACAGAATAGTTATCTAGCTGGTAAGTGAATATATAACATGTATTAATTATGTAAAATGTCAGCAACAATTCATCTCTTCCCAAAAAGAAATAATTAAACCTGAGGATAGAGTTGTAATTATATACTCCATAAACAGAAACACTTATGCTCATTATCAATCAAACCAGCACTTCAAATATTTTTCTAGTAGTGCCCTTGATTAAAGATGATGCATCCACCAACAAAGATACTGTGATTTGTCTTTTCAGCATAAATAACATGTAGTGTTATTTTGATTTAATCATCTTGAAATTACTAAATGAAGAATTCCATACAAAGAAATAAACTTAGATCATCTGATTTGAAGTCTTCATTTGAAAACCAAAACCAAAAATGATGTTTTGAAATGTTTAAGTGAAGTTCCTGTGGATCCCATGGTTTCTATGTGCCACATAGCGGAACCCAGTGCTGTGCCCACCAGAATTTACTCCTTTCCTCAGAGAGGAACGATTAGATCTCCGGCTTCCCACCACCACATGAAACGTCACAATGACCAAGATGCTCTTCTACAGCATATGAGCATTGTGGATTTTCTGATCCCGTACAAAGTTAAAGATCAATAAATAAACTGTAAAAATCTAAGATAAAGTGGAAGGGATGTCAAAGGCAAAGAGGCAGACCCTGAGTTACAAACTCTACTTATGTAAAAATGAACTCCCATTTCTGACTGATGTTGCAAAGGGCATACTCTTTACTTCTCACGGCTGCTGGAAATCTTCACTCCCTCCCTGCTGTTGACCTGACCCACCCCAGCTGGCCAAATCCCTCATTACCAGTATCCCTAGGCTCCCATCTTCGCCAGAGTCCTCTGCCACCATTCCCATGGTGGCTTTGTACCTGCTCCTCACCATGACCTGAGCCCCTTTCTAGGAGCTGCTTAGCAGACAGGAAATAGGGTTGCTTTGGGGCGGAAGTGGGGAGGTGTGCACATAGCA